ACCCGAGCCGAAGGCAGACGCCCAACCATCTGAGCCACCCAGGCGCCCCCATTAGTATTTTTTACATGGTTATTCTCCATAGAGCAAAAATTTAAAAAATGGAAACATTCTTTTACTAAGGCACATTGGAAGTTAAGAAACAAGTAAGTATCAACCCATGAAATCATATATTTTTAAAGATTATATTTATTTATTTATTTGAGAGAGAGAGAGAGCAAGTGGAGGGGAGGGAGAGAGGGAGATGGACAAGCAGACTCCCCGCTGAGCATGGAGCCGGATGCGAGGCTTGATGCTAGGACCCCGAGATCATGACCTGAACCGAAACCAAGAGTCAGACGCTTAACCAACTGAGCCACCCAGATGCCCCCAGAAATTGTTTTTAATTTGTCTTTAATTTATTAAACTTATTTAATCTGTAAGTGTTTCTCTCACAAATTATAAGTAATCTACAAACCTTCCGTAATAAGGTGTGTGTCCTACACATCTGAGTATTTCTCATATGATTAAGACTCTGGAAGAGACTATAAAGCACAAAATCGTAGCAGCAAAGCTTCTTAAAAATAAGTAAACACACACACATGTATATCTAGACTTGGAAAGTAAAGCCAAAGCCAAAAGTTCTATAAAGCCAAAAGCTATCAAGAGATATTATTTTCAACATGCAATATATAACTTAAAATGCATCCCTTTTCATGACAAAATGTTAAAACAATAACCTGTAAAATAAAGTGATAAATACAATGCCCCCTAAAAGTGCTCCCTGCTGGAAAATGACATCATTTTTTAATTGTACATCCAAAGTGATTGAAAACATGTCCAGACTGAGTGTGCACCTGCTTTCTCTCTCCCCACAAATGTATATTTGTGTGTGTGTGTGTCCTCTGTCCATATTCTGTCTCCTTATAATAGAGAAAAACTCAGTAGCTGAGTTGCCAGCAGATTGATATGGAATAAACTGTCAGGTCTCATGAGTTTCTTCAATTATATACTGTTTATACATTTATTTAAGAGGTTTTATCATGGTGTTTAAATCTCAAAGATGGGCAATACTAAACCTCTCCAATGGGAAACCTTCAAACATATGAATGAAAGCTTGAACTTTCATCAGAGTATTGTCAATGTGCCTATTAAATAATTATCCAAAGAAATAAATGTCATTCATTTGCAACCTTGGAGGCACAATTTTTGTATTATTATAAAGCGAATGGCAGAACAGGAAGAAAATTCGTGGTTTAACCTCTACATCAGCTTTGAAAATTCTGCATCTTTCCTAAGTTGCTTTGCGAATTTCAAGTAAATATTGCCCTGTCTTAAGATTACATTTTATTTTTAAAATAGTAGCAGGCACATATTTCAAGGAAGGAATCCAAATGCAGCAAGCTAATATATTTGCTTAATGTGGTTTAATTATTATATATGCTACATACTGACATTGATGCCTCTACTCCTTTTTCACAGAAAAGACATTTATTTGCCCTGCAAAGCGAGGCATGGAACTTTAAGCTGTCAGCTGACTGTACTAAGTGAAACCATCAATTATCTGGATTTTTTTTTTTTTTTTGGCTGCGTTAAGGTTTTATAAAGAGGCAAATTATAAAGGGCATTATTGTGGATTTATTCCAAAAAATAACTTCAGGGCTGTTTCCTTGGCCGGCATGAAATCAGTGTCATCTTTTCTATTTTCTGGGTATTTAGGCTGTACAATGAGAATTGATTTTCTGAGCAATAGCCCCGAGACCTTGCAGGGGTCTCACTTATCGAAGAAAGGTTCGATTATGTTCCCATACTGTACTTACCAAGGAAGAAAAAGCAAGAGAATATACTTCACAGAAACTCCTCAGGAGAAGTTATAATAGCCTCCAGTTACCTGGATTTGCACATCGAGATAATTCAGATAGCCCATTTCTCAAAAGCCTGTGCAACAGGAATTTATGGTGTGGGAACATTTTATACTTAGGAGTATTTATATATACTCCCAGTGATCCCTGAGTTTATTACATAATCAGAGTAAGTTTTTAATTGCAATTTTGAGGTAAGATAATTACCTATATGGTATCTGACTCACCCACAGTGCTGAGTCAAATGAAAGAATCATACAGTATATACGGCCCCAGAAGGCTGTGTTTAGCACTTCAGATTCCAGGCTGCTCTGCAACAGAGATTTGAGGCCTGCATGGTGGCTGGAATAGAGGACACTAAGCTCCCTGATAATCCTGAATCCTATGGGATATTCTACGGAATGATGACACTTAATTGGCCAGACCTTGAGGCTTCTTGCTTTCCACTGTGTGTTCCCAGAAAATGGTAAAATAGTAAAAGGCACATGAATGCAAAATGCCAACAAAAGAATTACAGCAAGCTAATAAAACAGACTGCAAAGCTTAATTATGTTCAGTATCAAACAACGGTAATATGAAAAAAAAAAGATGTGAGCTTCTTTTGAATGTGAACCCTGGATTCTTGCTCTGCCAAAAAAAAGGGGGGGAGGGAAGCTTATTCTACAAAAATAATTTCATCCACTGTTTAAGAAAACAAAACCCTTGCATTATCTCCCTAGCTTACTAAGATTTTAAAACCGAACTGTGCAAAGTTGGTTGGTGGGAAGTGAAAAAGGACGTGGAATCGAAGCCTTGCTGGCTTCTGGCAGAGTCGTCTGGACGCTACGGGTCTCCTCTTACAGTTGCTCTCGAGCTCAGCACCACCACGGCTGATCTCTGACGAACTTATCAGGACACAAAAGAACTACAGAAGAAATTTGTTAACTTAATATTTTGAGTCAAAGGGCCATCCATCTCTACAAATAGTGAAGAATTGCTCTAAATAATTAATAATTTTCTACGTGAAAATTATAATGCTAGATTTTTTCCCCCTACAATTTTATAAAATCCTCCTTTTCCTGAAACGCTGCTGCCTTTCTGGTTAAGGGTGTGAAGTCGGGCCCCGCACTTCCCAGCCCTCAGTCTCCACCACGTTCACCCCCTGTGGCTGACTTCTCGCTGTCTCTCCAAGCCCAGGACTTTCAGGAAGCCTTCCCTGTTGGCACCCTCTCCACGTTCTGCATTTGTTCTCCAGATATTACTCATTTCTCCCATGTTGTATTGACTTCTCTGGTATTTTTTACCCCCCTGCGATTTGTGTGTGTGCATATGCATACGTGTGTGTATGTGTATGTGTGCGTGTATATATGTGTGCATACATGTGTGTGTATGCGTGTGTATGCATGTATGTGCACGTGTGTATGTATGTGTATGCACTGTGTGCATACATGCATGTATGCATGTGTGTACATGCATGCGTGTGCATACATGCATGTATGTGTGTGTATGTATATGTGCATGTGTGTATGCATGTGTATATGTACATCCATGTGTACACATGTATGTGTGCATGTGTATACATGCGTGCGTACACATGTGTGTGCATACGTGTGTGCACATGGGCACATGTCCTCTTTCAGACTGAGGCTCCCCTACGAGCATAGCCTGCACGAAACATTACTCACGTGTGCATCCCCAGAACTCGGCACACGCTTCACACCCACTGGGCGTCAGTCAACATTCCCAGTGTAAGTGAATAGGAGTATGCAAATACAGTGGTAACTGGACCCTGAGTGAGAGACAGTCCTGCATCTGAGACAAACAGGGGACACAGACTAGAACAGTTCTTCGGGCTGACGCAACCTGATGGTGCAGGTGTGACAGAACTTGAAGGTAAAGGGGGCTGGGCAAGGCGGAGCAGGTTGGCTCACACGCGGGAAGGCCGAGCCAGGGCCGAGGAGTCCTCACCAACAGCTGGAGGGTACAGAGAGAGAAGGCGCACTCAGGGTTGTACGCAGCCGCCACCTGCCCGGGCGCCCGCGAGCCCGCCCTCGGGGGTGCGGGGGAGGGCAGCGTGCCCTTCGGCCGAGGGGGGCCGCACGCGCGAGGCATTCGGGGCGCGCTGTGCCCCGCCCCGCGCCACACTGCCCTCCGCGCGGGCTCCCCTCACGCGTGCCCCGAGGCGTTCGCCGGCTGCGAACGGGTCCGCCCTTGCCCGCACGCTCCGCTCCACCCTCCCGCACCCGATGGCTCAACACCGCCCGTCCTTGTGGTCTCAGCGCCCCGCGTCGGCTTGGGTCCTCCTCCTCGTGCTCAAGAACCGCTCTCTGCGCCCTTGCGTCCTCCTCCCACTTTCGCCTCCGGGCAGCGGCGCCCCTCTGAGCCGGACAGACAGCATCTCCCGGTCCTCCCGCCCCCGCGGGGCCTTCCCAGCTCCTTACGTCAAATACGTGAAAACACAAGTACCCGTCGCAAGCGCCCGCCTCGACGGCTTCCCATCTCCCTTCTCCCCCTGCTCTTTTCCTTCGCCCCCTTTCTGTACTTGTGCAGGGAGGGTCCTTGCCTGGGACACGGTTACATATCCCGGGATCCAGGACGGGCTCTGGAGTCGGCCGCCACCCTGCTCTTCCCGGCGTCACACCCGCCCTTCCAAGTCGGGCTCCCTTCCCGGGGACCGGCCCGGCCTTGCCGTGCACTCTGGCTTCCGAGGGCCGAGCTCCGCTGTCCGGACTCGCGCTGACCGTCGGTCCCCGAGAGGCTGGGCCCCGCGGCCCGAGCCCAGCGCGCGCTCCCCGCCGCGCGGCAAACACGCACTCCCGTGGGGGGCGCGCGCGGGGGCGCGGACACGGCTCTCGGGCGGCCGGGCCGAGCAGGAGGGGCTGCAGGGGCGTCCGCCACGACACGCGCGCGGCGGGGCTGGGGGGCTGGGGGGGCCGGGGGGGGCGGGGCGGGGCTGGGGGGGCTGGGGGCGCCGGGCGGGGCTGGGGGGCTGGGGGGGCGGGGCGGGGCTGGGGGGGCTGGGGGGGTCTGGGGGCGCCGGGCGGGGCTGGGGGGGCCCCGGGTTCCACGCAGCGCCACACAAACGAGCCTGGAACGCGCGCCGCCCCGCAGGGTTCCGGGCGGGCGGCTACGACCCCCCGCGCACGCGGCGCCCCCGAGCAGCAGCCGCGCCGCCCGCCAGAGCCGCGCCAGCCGGCCGGGGCCCGCCCCGACGCCCGGGCCCCGTCATGCTGGTCACCGTGTACTGCGTGCGGAGGGACCTGTCCGAGGCCACCTTCTCCCTCCAGGTCAGCCCGGACCTGCGGCTGCACGACTTCCGCGGGCTCTGCGCGCTCGAGTGCGGCGTGCCCGCCGACGAGATCCAGCTCCTGTTCCTGGAGCGGCTGCTGGCCGACGACGGCCGCTCCCTGGGCGCCTACGGCCTGCGAGACGGCGACGTGGCGCTGCTGCTGCAGAAGGACGGCGCGGGGCCTCGGCCGCCCGCACGGGGCGCCGGCCTGCGGCGCCCCGACGGCCCGGCCTCCGGGGGGCAGGGGCCCGCGCGAGGCCGGCGCAGCCCGGCCCCGACGCGCAGCACGCTGCTGGCCACGGCCCCCGCCCCGGCGCTGCCCCAGGGGCGCAAGCAGCCCCCGGCCGAGGCCCCGCTCGGCGGCGGCCTCGAGACCCTCCCGCAGGCCCTCCCGCGGCAGCAGACGGACAGGGCGCTGCGCGCGCGGGAGCGGCTGCGTCTCGTGGCCGCCGACCCCTTCGATCTGGAGGCCCAGGCCAGAATAGAGGAAGAAATCCGGCGGCAGAACATTGAGGAGAACATGAGCATCGCGATGGAAGAGGCTCCGGAGAGCTTCGGGCAGGTGACCATGCTCTACATCAACTGCAAGGTGAACGGACACCCTCTGAAGGCCTTCGTGGACTCCGGGGCCCAGATGACCATTGTGAGCCAAGCTTGTGCCGGGAGATGTAACATCATACGGCTGCTGGACCGCCGCTGGGCTGGCATCGCCAAAGGGGTGGGCACGCAGAGGATTATTGGCCGGGTCCATCTGGCCCAGATGCAGATCGAAGGCGACTTCCTCCAGTGCTCCTTCTCTGTCCTGGAGGAGCAGCCCATGGACATGCTTCTAGGGCTGGACATGCTCAGGAGGCACCAGTGCTGCATCGACCTGAAGAAAAACGTGCTGGTGATCGGCACCACGGGCACGCAGACGCGCTTTCTGCCGGAGGGGGAGTTACCCCCGTGTGCCAAGCTGGTGTGCGGTGCCGGGCAAGAAGGCTCTCCAGACAAGGAAGCAGCGGATACCATTAAGCATTCGGGCAGGGACTCAGGACGGACAAAGCGCTGAAATGGGTTATGAGTACGCCACCACCTTGGGGAAGCCTCAGGTCCGGGGAGATCCTAAGACATGAGCTCACTGGCGATGTAATCATTAAAAACATCAGTGACAACCAAACCCGGCTTGGGGACTGCCTTCTGGGATCCGTCACTTGCTTGATCTTGGCCCCTCCCCCATTTCCCTTACCCAAAGATCACCAAGCCTCATCCCAGGAAGGCTCTGGAGGCTGCAGGTGATTTCCAGGTAACCCATGAAAGGAAACCTTTCGAGGCCCTGTCCCATCAGATTACAGGGTGGGGTGGCTTGTCCAAACCAGACGGTATTTTGCAGATTCCCTAGAAAAAGCCATCACTGCAGACCCTACCAAACATCTACACAAAACGATTTCAAATCAGCACTAACAATAATTTATATTAAGAGAAATATGCTTATCTTCCCACCAGATTTTGTTTTCTTTGGGAGAGTTCTTAGAAATGGTGACTCGGTTACACTCCAGTTGATTAATACTTACAAATATCTGTTTGGGACAGTATAAAGGCCGATTATTTCCTCATATTTCATGTCTTCCCTTCCACTGGACTCCCTTGGAGTCATGCTCGCTGCAATCTGCCCCTGCAGGCCATTTTTGCCACATTTGAGAAAATGGATTTTTCTTCAGGAAGTCTGAAATAATGTCCTCTTTCCCCTGCATTCAAAGAAACCCTGGTCATAAAACAAGGGCCAGCAAGCAGACTTTTTTTTTTTTTTTTTTTTAAATTATGGTGCATCTTGGAAGCCTAGTGGTTGTGACGGTGGGGCCAGTGGGGGGGTAGGAGCAGGCCATGGTCCAGATCCCTAATACTCATTTCAGCTACAGCATCTTTTTTTTTTTTTTTAAACAACAACAAACCTCTGCTCTATATATTAGACTGCTACAGAATATTGTGGGAACAGAGGGTTTCCCTATTAAAGTAACATTTGAAAACCTCTGAATGAGAAGACGTCTGAGCCCTCATTCAGCAATATGATCCATTCGAACAACCCACGCTGCGTTACTCCTGGAAGATCCGGGACCCATTACAATCTGTGGCTAAAACCCCTGACACAATGGGGTCCAGGTGCCTGAGGCCATCAGACTCAGAATGTTTCAGGGCAGTAACCCATCAAGACGGATATGAGAAAGAGGGTGCATTCAAAGTCAAGAAACACACGTTCTGATTCTAGCTCTGTATTACTTGGGCAAATCAGGTCACATTTTACACAACTCTGATTTCTCGTCTGTAAATTACGTTGGAGGGGAGAGCCATTTTCAGGTACCAAGATTATGTTACGATCGAGGGCATCCTTTCAGTTATTCTCTTTTCCCAACAAAATCTAAAGCCACTCAAAGCATTCCCTAAAGGCTACAGGGAAAAAAAAAAAAAAAAAAAGTCCTTCCCTACCATCACCTTTCCCTACCATGCCTTTCTTGGTCTGCTTCTCTTTTTTATTTTATTTTATTTTATTTATTTGAGAGAGAGAGAGAGCACAAGAGGGGGTAGGGTCAGAGGGAGAAGAAGACTCCCTGCTGAGCAGGGAGCCCGATGCGGGACTCGATCCTGGGACTCCGGGATCATGACCCGAGCTGAAGGCAGTCACTTAACCAACTGAGCCACCCAGGTGCCCTCCTGGTCTGCTTCGTGGTGAGACTAACCATCTTATTTCTCTAGCATCACCTCTCACCCTCCAGCCACCATTACTTTACCTCTCATGTTCTTCTTCCTTATAGTAGTGCTCCCATGATCACAAGCCCCAACCTTGTCTACATTCACAGCAAGGCTTATTACACTCACTAAACTGCTAAAAATGAGCAATGGACAGCCTCTTTTCTACTTTTGCTTCTAAGTACTCAGCAAACAGTAACTAACAAAATGAAGGAAGAAATCCAGAGTAAAGCCAGGGATAAGCCATTTAATGTCTGTCACTAGATGAAAACAGACCCGACAGATACAAGGATTCCTTCACAGATAAAAACATGCATGTTCCTCAGCAGTTTCTACCAGACTCTGTTTCCAGGCCCATTTATGGAAAATGCACGTCTGATGTGCATATGCCATATGGGACTACTTGATATAAAAGTTTGATATAGAGCCGATCAGGATAGCTAACCCGTAAAAGCCAATCTAAAAAATCATCAGGTCTTTAAACTGAAAGATGATCTGTACCATCGCAAATCCAAACATACACACCCTCCCTTCTCAGAGGAACATCCCTCCTAAAATAGCTACGGTGGTTCAGGACCAGTCTCAAGAATAATTCCTTTTTTCTGGTTTTGAGCTAAACTCTATTATTCCATAACTTCCAATAAACTTTGTCTTCACTCTTCCTTCTTCCAAGAACATATTTAATTAATGTAATTTCTCTGGCATGAAATAATCCTTTTAATATATGAAATCAATGTCACTTGAGTATTCTCTTTTGTAAGCTCTCACCGGATTATTTAACTATTTCTCATAGCGTAAGTTTGGAGTCATCTAAAAATTTCTGTCATGTTCCTTTGGACATATTCCAGCTTCTAAAAATATTACTTGAGTAAATGGGTTGGTAAATTAAAAATACTTTTATTGAACTGAAAAGTGACAATCTCAAAGAAAAATCAATAAACAGAGTGAATTAATTAAGCGATGTCCTTCCTGATTAATTTTTAACATCACTGTCTTTCAAATCAGAAAGTATTTTAAAAATTAGTTTCATGGATTTAAATCTTGACTCAATCCTGTGTACACTTGAATAGATCCTAATCAATTAAATTTTAAGTGGATTAGTTTTAAGAAAAGGTAACATCTTTTGCACGCCTATCATGTAAATTAGGTGCTATGCAAAGTACCTTGCATTATTACTGCCATTAATCCTCAGAAAAAACCCTCAAAATGGTCACCATTAATCTCATTTAACAGATGAGAAATTCAAGGCTCAGAATGACGAAACATTCAAAGACCCAAAGCTCCGTGTTTTTAAAACTTTTTCTTGACGACAATCTACATTTTAGATTGTGACCCAGTTTCACATCACACACACACACACACACACACCAGTCTGTATCTCTGAAACAAAAAGATCCTTGAAATAACATGAAATGTTTTATCCGTTCCCAGTCTATTACTTTGAAAAATTATATTTTTATTACTTAAGAAAATATATTAGACGTGTCCCACTCATTGTATCCCACCAACATATCCTGACCCACATTTGGAAAAACCTGACTCACCAGATCACTGAGTTGAGGTCTTTCTGATTTCAAATGACAAGTTCTCTCCACTATTCAACCTTCCTTATGTGTCACAGTGGAGTCCTAGCTACCAGTAAAAAGTGTTAGAAAATGTCGCTGATCGGATTCTTGCTACAGTATGTGACTAAACCGTGTACAGAAGTTTTCATAAAATGGGTGAGACTTCAGTGTTCAGGACCCTCCTTTGCTGAAATGAATGCCAATAAACAGCCCCACTGCTCTGTAAGTAAAACAAAAACCAAAACCTATAGAAATTACCTAAATGCTGCAAGTAAAAAGGACCCCAGAGAAGCGGCCAGCAGGGCACACACATCCGTTATTTATTGAACACCTATGAACCGAGCACTGAGCCAAGTTGTTACAAGCGGGGAAATGAGTAGGTTACAGTTCCAGACCGGAAGGTGAGCACAGCCTGGTAGGGCAGGGGAAAGACTTGTAACCAACTCAGGATGAAAAGGGTGCACATGGAATTAGTAATATGTTGGTGCAAACGAAGGAAGGGATTTTAATTTGGGGTTATTGTTAAAGGAAAAAACAAGCCAGTAAAATGCACTTTCAATATGTCTACAATGACCGTCACTGATGCCGGATGACAAAACGTTCTCTCCTCCTAAAGTTCAGGTTTCTAATATAGAACTTATAATATCTACTGTTGGGCATTATCTACTATTGGGAATTTGCTACCTGGAAGATGATGAACAAATCTTCATTTTCTCTCTACCCATTAGTAATCAGGATAAAGCATACCACATGATGACACTGACTTAATGCTGTTAAAGATAATAAGCCCTTAAAAAAATCCATTAATCCCTTGGTTTCTCCTAACGTCCATTTAAATGCCCATCTTACATGAAAGGAAATCACTACTGTTGATAAGCATGCATTTCAAGACTGCGGTAATGCATTCTGCCACAGTTAAACCAGAAGACCCATGTTCGAGATTTGTAGAACATACAGTCTCAACTTCTTTCTTACAATACCAGGTCATAAAGTTTCTCTTGTTCCTAGGGGAAAACCCACTCCCCCCCAGAGAAAAAAGAAATGGAGGTCTCCATATATGAACTCACTTTCATTGTAGGGACTAAATGTAGTTGGTTTTGTTTTGTTTTGTTTTGTTTTTAGTTTATTTGAGAGAGAGAAAGCAAGAGAGAGAGCACTAGTGGGGCGGGGGTGGGGGCAGAGGGAGAAGGAGAAGCAGACTCCCCACTCAGTGGGGAGCCAGATGCAGGACTTGATCCCAGGACCCTGTGATCATGACCTCAGCTGAAGGCAGACACAGCCAACTGAGCCACCCAGGCGCTCTTAAACGGTGCCTTTTTAAGAGAACACTGCATTTATTTCAGAGGGCCATTGCTGACATCCAACATTCCATAAAGAAAAATGTGAGTGAATGGTGGGAGAGTGATCTGGGATTCACACCAGGGGGAGACCGCTGGGGAAGATATTATTCAGTGCTAACATTCATAGCGGTTCTTTGAGGTTAACAAGAGCCTCAGAAACCAAAGAGGAACAAAGGTAAAGTAAGGGTAGAGAAGGAAGAGGGGATTAAAAAAAATCCAAAAAATCTGTGTTACTTTTAAAACTAATTCTCTCTTGGTTTAACTGCTGTTTCATAAGGTGGGTGGGGACTGGGCTGAGATTAAGGATTAGCTCTTAGGGCCACAATACCTCATCCATCCTTGGCAAGTTATCCAAAATGAAAATGTTTTCACATCCCAGCCTGAGTCCACCTGTTAGAATCTCAGAATTTCTAAGAGTCTGTGATCAGAAAAATGGGGTCTGCCATCCTGCTGTGCTTTTTTTCATGGATCCATTTAACAGGCTGTGGAGATGAGCCCGCCTGTGGTGGTTTTGTCTCTTATTACCACAC